TGTAATACATAATTTAATAGTGTATGACATATGCAACATTGCAACGTGCATCTACGAGTTCAGAGCTTTAACTACTGAATTCGTATAATATACTATAGAATTTAGTGCCAGTCTCTTTATTGACTTTATTGATGGAAAATGTCGCGTGCGTGGATAATTAGCATGCGTAGTAATATTCACAATCCCATCGCGAGCTACGAACAAATACTGCACGCTACTGTACTTTTTCACTAGGGTAAATCGTGTGAACATACTCGTATATACGTACTCGTGATTTCGGATTCTGTTTTGGCAGAATCTTGAGGTCACATCTTCAACTTAAGGTCAATAAAGATGAAAAGAACTTCTATACTATACCTTTGTCAACAAAGTTAAGTGATCTCCTCTTGTGATCGTCGATTATTAATTCGGTATTAAATCTTACGCTACTCTTCATCGGCAGCAATGGCTTTATCTACTAAGGAAAAACCAACAATATCATCACCTCCTGAATATCTTTTAAGGTCTGCATCCAAGACAAATCTATCAATGATCGATACCTCCGGTGGCTCGTATCAGGCGGTCGTATGCGAAGAGCTGAAGAAGCCTCTGGTTATGAAAGATTTATCTCGTCAGCCATTGCAAAATAGCGAGGTCGATAAAGGACAGTGATAGTTCTGTAATCGATGTACTGTATCTAGTGCATTCACGTTAGGTGAATTAAATCAATCTGTAAGAGTTGTTAGTACTTTTAATCTTAATCTTACTGCATACGATAAGTAATGCCATAGTGGATAGCTGCTGTAATTTATCGATTGTACACGAATAAATTGAATTATGGCAAGTTAATACGAGAGAAACGATTAGCCAGTTAGAAACTTTTAAATTAATTATTATTAGTAAAGATAAAGTTACTGTAATCTTCAATTCCATCTCCTATTTTATACAGGTGAGAATAAAAGTCGAATATTGTGGCATCAATTATGCAGATATTCTAAAATCGATGGGACTATATCAAGAACGTCCTGAACTACCTTTTGTTCCAGGTTGAAATATACTGTACAATTCATAGATTTATGTCTACTATTATAAATTGTTTAACATTCCAAGCTTAAAGATTGATTAATTACATGATAATTAGGATGTGAACCTGCAGGAACTATCATAGAAGTTGGACGAGATGTAACCGGATATCAAATCGTAAGTTAGAAGTAGAAAGTAATATTTTCTCATATATTATCGATTGATTGATTAAGATTGTACTGTGCGATGCATAATTGCATATCTTACTGTAGGTCAGACTATCGTAAAGTTAGGTAGACTGTACTGTTGAAAATTGTGTTGAACACGTACAATGAAATATATCCCTTAACAGTTTATTGATAAACTTTTAAAACGTGAATAAATAAATTTGCGTTCGATTTTTTAATGTCTACTCAATACATAGGAAAGTTGTATACATAAATTATAACGTAGTATAGACCTTGTTAAGCACTGATAAAAGTACGCTAGCACAATTAAACTACAGGAACTGATTATTTAAATAGCCTCTAGCTAGTGCCATTTATTACTAAAATATTAATAATACGAATAACCGTATTTTACTACAGGGAGATAGGGTTATCGCTCCGATGCACTTAGGAGGATATGCGGACGAGTGTGTTAACTATACTAAGGTAAATTCATGCATACTATTTTAGAGTATAAGAAAGAATACAATTGCATTAGTTACAATGAAATAACACAAGTAGACATTAAATTGAACTATTTTTGTTACTTAATTGAAGTCGGTATGGAAATTACCCGATAACGTCAGCTTACAAGATGCAACCGCAGGCTTAGTGTCATATGGAACTGCTCATATGGCATTAATAGCTAAAGCTAGTACTCAAATAGGGTATAGATCGTATAGTGTATTCCTTTTATTGTACTATTATTATAAATACTAAAGATAGTTATAACGGATAATATAATTATGACTAATTATGACGATGTAGAGAAACAGTGCTAGTTTCTGGAGCAGCTGGTAGTGTCGGACTAGCCGCGTAGACATTGCTGC